GACGCACAGAGAAAAATACTGTAGCAGGCAGATCACTCACTGTTCATGATGCACGAACTATTGTAAGAAAATCCTAAATATTGATTTGGGGGTTTATATGAATGTGTTTCTGAGGGGAACTGACTGTCTTCAGAAAAGTTTACGTGGTATTTTCTTTTAATCTCGTCTCTGTATAGTTCATATTAAAGCAGTGTTTCAGCGCAGTGCTGCTTTGTTTACAGCGGTAACCAAGGAAACGCTGTATCTGCTGCTCCATGAGCGCCTCCTGCTGTCAGAGAGTGAATCTGCGTCTCATTCAGAGCTTCTGCTGTTTGCTTCTTTCAGGCATGTAGTATAATTTCACAAAGCTAGTCAGCACATTCTGTTTTTGCTTCAAATTGGGTTATTATTAAATCAAATTATGTATATGAAATGATATAATTAAATGATATGAAATGATATAAATGATATGTATATGAATTATATAACTAAACTTAAATAACTGTAATTACAGATTTAGGTTAAATAAAGATGTCAGTCTTTATTTTTCTTCTTTTTAGGAAACAAATCAAAGAAAAAGAAACAAATTCTACTGTTCCTAATATTCTGTATGTTGCTCAAAAACAAAATGTATTGTGTTCAGCGGAAATTATTATTTATTTTTTTTACCCAGTCATTTAAAAATAACACATTTTAGAGCTGTAACGACAATACCGTGATATTTTTGCTTAAGGTTATCATACCGTCAAAATCTCATGCCAGCCCATGCCTAGTGACATCACATCACAGGGTCTCTCTTTCTCTCTCTGTAGCGTATGCGCCCAGATGCGTTCTCAGGTACCGAAATTTGGCACCGATTGATTTAACATGAATCGGTACTCTGTAGTACCGACGCAATTCGGTCAGTACACTTAAAAGTACCGAGTTCGGTACTCAACCCTAGTTTAGTAGACAATAGATTCACATAGAAAACAGTTATTTTAAATTGTAATAATATTTCACAATATTACTTTTTTCTGTATATTTCAGCTAGGGGTGTGCGATATGACTATTTTTGATCGTGGACAATAAAAATGTCTCCACGATCTGCTTTTGAAGAAATATCGTAGTATATTCTATCAGCTTCAGTTCTGGCGCCGTCTCAATATACTGTACAACGCCGCATTCACATCACATCAGTGTTAACTCAGCGGTAGAGTTACTCTCACAGGACACTGCGCTTACTCGCAATCACAAAAGTACATTATTTGCATGCACTTTAAAGCCTTGCCGGTTAAACTTTTCATTCACATGCTGTTCTGACGTGCGCTTTTTCTGAGCGTGCACACATGAAGCGCTTGCACTAAAAAGCCTGTCAAAACATCGCCTGATTACTGAACTAAGTTATCTTTTGTGCTAATACTGTCAAAACACACAAGGTTTATATATAGACTCAGTTGATTATGTCTAAAATGAAAGTAAACAGTTGAGAGAAAAACGGATGTGTGTCTGTATATTAGATGCGTGCAGCTCTTAAAGGGACAGTACTAAACATGCTGCCGACTGTCATTAAAGGGATAGTCCACCCTAAAACTTACTTTCTATTTCCTCACTCACATGTTGTCCTGAGCCTGTATTAATTTCTTTCTTGTGCTGAACACAAAAGAAGATATTTTGAAGAATGTGGGTAACCAAACAGTAGCTGGTCCACATTGAATTTGATAGTAGGAAAAAACACTATGGAATTCACTGTGGATAAGCAACTGTTTGGTTTTCCATGTTCTTCAAAATAACATTTATGTTCAGCAGAAGAAAGAAACTCGTGTTTAAAACAACTTTTGAGTGAGTAAATGATGGTATAAACATAAAACACTGTGACAGAATTGACAGACAGATGACAGAATTTTTATTTTTGGGTGAACTAAAACATAAAGAGAAAAATCACTCACTAGACTGAAAAACTTTAATACAGTTGCTTTAATATGAGTCAATCTATATAGTGTTTTCTTTTTATATTCAATTTCTTGAATGCTCCTGCTAAATACACCTATCGTACCTGAAAATAAAACACTGTTTGTTTTATTTGTATATTTTGTGTATTTGTAATGTGTATCTTTGTTCTTATTTTTTAATAGCAAAGATAAAAATAATGACAAAGGTTTTTATCTTCACCCACATTGGCCTAAATATCCGCTATTCTTTTTTTATATTTTGTTACCTTGAAAGGCTTTGTCTTTATAATAGGGAAATTAGTTTGGCTGTAATGCTCAGACGACTTGCAAAACAGTAAAACCAACATGACAAAGAATCGTGATAAAATCGTGATATGATATTTTTGCCATATCGCCCACCCCTAATTTGAGCAAATAAAAGCAGTATAAGAGACTTCTAAAAAACATTAAAGATACTAGTGACTTCAGACTTTTGTTTTTATATGTAATATAAGTGTTGGCAAGAAATCACTGACTTCCTGTTGAAGTCTTCACCAGCGAACAGGATTTTTCAGATTTTCATTTTTTTTCTGAACAATGGAGTTGAACACTGAAAAGGCAGTTAGTAACTTGATCCGAGTGTGAAGAATACTGATGCACTTTTTTATAGGAGGAGTAAAAAAACGTATGTGAATCTGTTCCAAATGACAGTTGTGGAGGATTACAGTGTTTTTCAGGAGATATATGAACTGACAGCTGAACTCATCCAAAGCACAGCCTTACACACAAGTACAAAAGGCATCTTGACACAAGTCACAGTAATTTGTGATAGCGATTGATTGTTTTTTTGTCATCTAGGGTGCAGACAGCAGCGTGGTGAGCATCCCCGAGCCAATTAAAGAGGCTACCTCTCTGTTCTCAGGTAAACTAAAGCACGTTCATATCAGCGGCTCATGAGAGCAGGAGGACCATATAATGCTTATGGACACATAATACAGACTCATACAGCTGTTACTGTGTGTGTGTGTGTGTGTGTGTGAATTGCATGTTGTTGGCCTGAATGCGGACTTCATTTATTATTATCAGATCTCGGACATCAGTTTTGTTCAGAGCATGAATGAGATTGTACAGTAGATGACGAACACTAAAGCCTGAAGTGTGTGTGTGTGTGTGTGTGTGTGTATTAGTCTGGAGACAGTGATGATACAGTGATGCGTTACTCGTCTCAGTATGAGGAGAGACTCGATCCCTTCGCCTCCTTCAGCAAAAAGGTGAGAATGTGAACATCTTCAAATTTCAGTTTTGGAATTATTTGTTGGTTTTGTGCGTTCAGGTTTTAGTAGTGATGTGTTTATAATGTGATTTTGTCTTCAGGAGCGTCACCGGAGATATCAGAGCCTCAGCCCGTGGGACAAGGCCACGCTCAGTCTGGTGTGTGACCTGGGTTTGTGTTCATATCGTTTCGTGCTGTTCCGATATACGCCACAATAGGAATATATGCTAGATTTCAGGTCTCCGTGGGGTTTTCCACCAAAAGAAAAACTATGGTTTAAATTTTGAAAAACGTAAAAATAACAACAGCCGTACATATTAGTATTGTAATTATTCTATTAAAAATATTATACTATTTACTATTTTATACTACATTAGTATTAATTAAAGGAGTAGCATAGTTCTTTGATTGGCTTAATTTTTTTGTATGATTTAAAGGAATAGTTCAAAAATGAAAATTTGCTAAAAAATGTACTCACCCTCAGGCCACCCAGGATGTAGATGAGTTTGTTTCTTCATCAGAACAGATTTTAAGAAATGTAGCATTGCATCACTTGCTCACCAGTGGATCCTCTGAAGTGAATGGGTGCCGTCAGAATGACAGTCCA